TTTTTTTTTTTTTTTTGGTACTGGGGATCGAACTTGGGTCCTTTGTGCTTGTGAGGCATGTTGCAAAACCACTGAGCTAAATCCCCGGCTCTAGTATAACTTTAGAATAAGTTTTGAAATCAGGATATGTAAACTCTCTAAAATTTTCTTCTTTTGAAGATTGTTCTTGGCTATTTGTACATGGTGTTCTAAAATATGGACCACTTAGCACAGTATTGTTTTATTTTTATTGAGATTATTTGTAGACAATATACAAGATTTAATATCTTTCATTTTCTTTCTCCTTGAGCTACAATGACAAGTAAATGGAAGTAAATTCATCTCTGTCTGAGTTTTAAAGCTCTGCTTTTCTCAATTCCAGAAAGTATATATTTAACTATAGTTAGCATTTCTTCTGTAACATGAATTCTAAGGTTACATTATTACTCATTCCTTGCTCATCATGTACATCTAACTAGTTTCTCAAAATTAAGTCCATAGTAGTTCTTTTTGCTTTCTTTGTATGAATTATTGTTAAGAGAAATCCCTGTTTTAGCTGAAAGTCCTAGCATCTGGAGCATCTTCATTTACCTTTTCCTGGTCTTTTCTGTCCCTCTGGTTTAGTGTCATTCTTTTCTTCTTGAGACTGAGTTGAAAAGCATTTTCAAGGAGTGGGACTGTTAAAAGCATTGAAAACTTTGAATATAGCATTCCCTTGGAAAACAGTATTTAAAATAGTAAATTTTTATTCATTAATTTTAACAGCATATTAATTTTAATAGTTTGTACAGTATTATAAATATAGTAAGTCCCCAACTTAAGAACATTTAAGTTGCAAACTATCACAGGTATACTGTATAAGACTCACTTTGTTGGCTTACAGATGAATCCAACTCATGAACAATTCTCTCAGAACAAATCTTGTTAGTCGGGGACTTATTGTACAAAATTGTTCGTCTATCTAAAAGAGGGCTTTGTTTTAGCTGCTTTTCAGAAGATTGCGTCATTTACAAAGCAAACTGTATAATACTATAAGATTAAGAAAAATGTACTTGCATAACTAATACCAAAATAGGGAAGACTTTAACAGGGCTGAAAGTTAAGATTTAGATCTAGAATATCCCTCAAAAGCCTCCTGTGTAGAGGTGATCAGATCATGTGGGTGCTAAATTGGTCCTCTGATAAGTTCATAGCTGAATGTTATGGTTAGGAGAATGGGGCCTGATGATAAAAGACAGGCTACTGGGGGCATGAACTAGAAGGGTATAACATCCTTCTCCCTTCTTTCTCCACTTGCTGGATGTCATGGGATTAGTATCTATCCTCCATCCAGGTCTTTCTGCCATGGTTTTTTTGCCTTGAAGCCATATGAGCACAGACTGAAAACATGAGCTAAAATAAACCATTCCTCCTTTAAGATGTGACTAGAGACATGGGATTTTTGCTGTGACTATACCTGACCACATAGTTCAGGTGTCTTTGGAAATAGTTCACGAGAGGACCATCGAACAGTTTTGAGATGCCATGTAGAGATAGGATGCTATAAACTGAGCTTGGTTGGAGATGCTGGTTTCAATTTACAAGCCTGGAATGCTTACAGAAATGCAAATGGTCAAGGTCAATCTCAGGAAGTTTCAGCTAGACACAAGGACTCCATTGGCAGTTGGCCTACAAGCCATGTGTGTTACACTGTGGCAGAAAATTTGTCTTCATTTTGCTCATGTCCTGAGTTTTTGCAGGAGACTGAGATTAAGCATGGTAGTCTGATTAATCTAGGAGAGAAAATTTCAAAGCAGTCCAACATTCAAGCTGTGGCACAGATACTGCAGGCAGCTTTTAGCCAGGTCTGTAGTGAAAATCAGGAGCAAAAAGCTTATATGAAAAGTTTACTGTTTCATCCAAAAGGAAGTACTTATGGAGTTGGGGCAAAGGAGAGCATGATGACTGCTAAAAAGATTAGCATTGAAGAGAAGCCAAGTACTTTGTATCAAGACAGTAGGACTTAAAGGCACCTCAGCAAGAACTCATTCATCACATACTAAATGATACAAAAGTGTAAATATTTGCTTTGAGGAGAGTCCAAGATTTCCACCTCATTCAGGACTGGCTAGGAAGGCTTTTTCCAGTGTTCAAGCATCAGCATCCAGCCACTCAAAAACTACTTCAGCCTGATCCAAAGTTGCACAGCTGCTGCTCCCACTGGTGGCAGACTTTGGCATTATTCATATGGTTGGTATTGGCCTTATGGATATACAGAATGTGAGAGTTGTGGGTTCAGGGAGGCTTCTACCTAGATTTCAGAAGAAGTCCTGGGAGGCCAGGCAGTGTTCCTCTGAGAGTGCAGTGTGTGAAGATAGGAGAGTGAAGCTGAAAGTGTAGCAGTGAACCAAGGAAGTTAGAAATGCTAGGGATATGGATAGGTCTACTGAGAAAAGCTACAGATTTTGAATAGAGCCAGCTCAAGAAAGAGGCCAGGAGCACAGCAACCAGCAGTGAGACAGAGATGGGGCCTCTGGAGCTCACATCTTGCCACAGCTTGCCTGGGTGCTAGACCTGGGAGTACAGAATTTAACGTTTACCCTGCTGGGTTTTGGTCTTGTATTGGTTGTTTTTATTCTGTTATTCCTCCATTTTGGAAAGGGAGTGTTTACCCTACAATATTTATGTTGGAAGTGTTTAACTTTCTTTTTTATTTTTATAAGGGTTCACAGTTAAGTGTTTGCTAGAGTCACGGAGGAGACAGGACTTGGACTTTTTATCAGTGCCTGAGCTGTTATTATACTCTGATGACTGTTAGAGATAGACTAAATGTATTTTGCATAATGACATGGTCATTTATTTGGGGGGTCAAGGTCAGGGAGTGTTAACGTTTTATGTCTAAAAAGTGCCCCAAAAGCTTCATGTGCTTTGAAGATGATTGGCTTATAGGGCATTATACTCATCAGTGAATTTATCCATCACTGAGTTCAGCTATTATGAGATGGGTCCTGGTTTGAAGTGTACCACTGGTGTGCCTTTAGAGGGTGTGTTTCCCTCCCAGCCCCTCCCTTTACTCTGTACTTCCTGGCTGCCATTAATTGGTCTGCATTTCTTCTGCCCTGACCTTCTACCATTCTGCCTTGGAGCCAGCTAACTATGGACTGAATCCTCAAAATCCCATGAGCCAAAATAAACCTCTCCTCTGTTAAGTTGTGGGTGCTGGGTATTTAGTCCCAGACCCGAATAGTACTAAAACACTGTCCTAAAGAGTGGTTGATGACCTAGAGTTGGCAAAAATACACAGAAAAATAATCATTCTTGGTTTATTGTTAATCATAGTAAAGTACCAGCTCTTTGGTATTATAAAGTTTCGTGTTTCTTAAAGTTTGTTGTTTTTTACAGGTCCTCCTCCTATCCCTGCAGAACCTGTTGTTTCTCCTGAATCTGCATATGTTTCAAAAGTACATTATGGTAGGAAAATCCTTGTAATATTCTTTCTTAGATAATTAACCCAATTAAAAATATAATGAAAATATGCAGCTGAGGGTGGTGGTGCTCGCCTGTAATCCCAGCACTGGCAAGGCTGAGGCAGGATGATTGCCATGAGTTTGAGGTCAGCCTGAACTGCAAAGCAAGACCCTGTCTCAAAAAAATGGATAAGTATGAAAATTTATACTGATATTTCATTATTCAAACTTTTCACACTTGGAAAGAAAAAAATTTCCCATATGCCTTCCTAAAAAATGAGGGAAATAAGGAATAGAGAGGAAAGATTAAAGGAAGGGGCCTCTTCTTCTAAGAAGACAGTTCATCAGTTTCATGAATTTCAACTGTTTCTATGAGAATTCTTTGCTTTTATGGTCTTGTTTTCACATTTCTTTAATGGAAGTTATTAGTCCCTCAAGCCCAAGAAAGGTTAAATTTCAGTTCACATCGCTAGTTATATGATCTAGGACCACTTGCTTCCCTGTGCACCTTAATTGCCTCATTTATAAAATGACTATTTCAGAAAGTCCCTATAGAGTTGTTGTGGGGATTAAATGAATTCATACATATAAATTACTGACATCAGTGACTCACAGCACATGCTCACCAAATAGTAACTTTCATATTTTTTACCTTTCTTATTACATCATCACATTCAATATTCTCGTGCGGTAGTTATCACATCCTTTTACTGTCAAACTATTAATTTCATGAAATGCAGAAAATTATTCTTAATTCCACGTTAATAATGTATTAGAAACATTTCTGACTTTAAAGTTTAGGGTATTTATAAACTAAAGAAGAGCCTTTCTTCCTTTCATTTTTCAGGCCTGCAGGTTAGGATTTGAAAAGTTTCTGCCTATTCAACTTTGGTCTTCCTTTATCTTTCTGAGATAAAGAAAAAGGCTGTGTACGTTTCCATGGTTACATGGAGCTAACAGACCAGACCATGGAAAATAAGCATATTCAAATGACAGAATCCAGCAGTAGATACAACCATTTGACCTAATAGTCACACTAATTATGAACAGAAGAGCCACAAGAAATTGATAGAACAGCAGTGATTTCTTAGTAAAGGAAGAGGCTCTTGTCTTTCCATTCAACCTCTGTGGACATTTTTACAGACATTTAGGTTGAATCCCAAGGATTAGCAAATAGCATAGGTTGCTATTACCCTAAGAAACCAGACCATAATTGGTGAAGAAAGAGTATGTAGTTATTTAAAAAGTGCAAGAATTGAGTCCAGTTTAGAAGACTCAGGTCAAGTCAGATGTCAAATAAGGGAGAACAAACATTATCCTTTAAACTATGGGTTAAAAAAGGAGTTGAGTATTAAAATTTTTGAAGGAAAAAGAGATTTGTGACCCACAAAAGTCTGTTGGGCAAATTATAGAGAGGAACTTTTGTTTCATAATAGACTGTGTGCTTTGCCCTTTACTTCTGACTGGGCTATGTCTTCACTAAAATAAAATTTTGGCTCTGAATATAGATTCAGGTTACTTAGTATCACATGAAAGTAGCAACTTGTACTCAAATGGTATTAACTGGCATTATATATGTTTTATTTGTATCTCATCTTCATTCCCAATAATTTGAGAGTATTTTATTCCATCAACAATTAGTATACATAAATAGGGAAAAGAGGAAAATAGGACTGCTTCTCAGTCCTTCACACACATTAAAAACAGATTTATTAAATATTTAATTACATGCACAATATTTATTTAAATATTAAATTAAGATCAGGAGGTATATTGGTATGCTAGTTTCTTTTTCTGTGTTGTTTTGGGGGGTGTGGGGGATTGAACTAGGGCTTTGCACATACTAGACAAACTATCACTCATCTACAATCCCATGCCCTATTTGTATATTATTGATTCCCAAATAGTCTTTGTGATATTTCCAATGAGCAGCAAAACATTTTCTTGCTACATATAGAATTATTGCAGATTACTTTTGTTCTAAAATGAAAACTATATACCACATGATTAAATATATAATACATAATACATTTAATCTGAGGAAACTTTTAAAAGAATGAAACAGTGCTAATGTCTTTTTTTTTTTCATGTTCAAGACCAAATAAATGCAAACACTGGAGTATAGCATGCCCCAGTTTTTGTTTATAAAATAATGTATTGTTTATAAGTTGTCTCTCAATATCTATAAGAAACTTATAATAGCAGTTTTGCATCTGGAGAGGGAAACTTATGAATGTATTCATTTTATTAGAACAGGAATAGTTAAATTTTAAAAAGCAAAACACTACTATAGGCTATAGTATTTCTCTTACACCATGAGTTCTGTTAATAAACAGAGCCATTAATTCATTCTGCTTTCTCACGGAGCTTCATTTTGTGATTAAATTTTTACTTTTTTTTTTGTACTGGGGATCAAACTCAGGATCTTGCACTTGCTCGGCATGTACTGTGCCACTGAGCTACATCCCCCTGCCCTTGAATTTTTTTCATAATATGAATTTACTTGATTTGCAACATATAAAGTATTAATATTAAGAAAATGCAAGTTTAATAAAAACATGAACATATAAATGAGCTGAAATAAATTATATCCAATTACCAGAATGTTAGTTAAGACTACTAATTTTGTATTTTTAGCATTCATGTAACTTTTAGGTTATGATTATTAAGCAAGTAAAAAGAATTTCTATAAAATTATAATTATACATTTCAAATATATGTACTGCATGAGATCAAAATTATTTACTTTTTTCCTCTGAAAATATTAAATCAACTATGAACCACTTGTAGACCACCAGCATCTTGATGGAACATCAAGAACCATCAGTGGTTTATAGCCAAACTTAGAAATACTGTATTAAGTGATTATGCAATGATTCTCCAAAACAATGATTTTTCCTAGGAATACACAATTATATATACTCAAAGTAGTAGGTCACCAGAGTCCTACTGAAGAATTTCAAGCTCCTCCCTCATATTTAAAAAAGCAAACAACTTTATGGGTAACTTTTGTTGTATATTCTTGGTTACAAACTATCTTACTTAGTTTTCTGAGACATAATATCTGATACCCAAAATTATGGCGAACAGTTTAGTTCACAGTCAGCTGGACCCAGGACAGAACAGCCTGGTAAAGGGGATAGCAGAGGAACGCTGCTTACCTCATGACAGCTAGGAAGTAGAGAGAGGAGAGCTATGGAGGAGGGAGGTATGTGCTTCCACATCCTGCTGCCAGTGACTCACCTCTTCCTGACCAGACCTTGCCTTATAACAGCAAGTTAGCTATATCACCCCCATGATTAAGTGATATTCCAAAAGTCCCTGCAAACCATAACATAAGTTGTTCTCTGATAATCCTAGTTACTGTCAACTGTTTTAATCCTCTTTCATAATTAGGGAATTTTTAAGAGTGAGCATGAGACTATTCAAAGGGTCTAAATGATTAGTAGTTTGCAGTGTTTTTCAGTGGGCCAAATATTAAGGGAGTGTATTTTGACTGTCATAATGATTGGGGAAATTACCACCATTCATTGGGATATTGATCATCTTGCAATGTGTGGAACAGTCTATATATACAACAAAGAATTGTCTTTTGTCTCATGAGTTTTGAGTATCTTGTCAGACTAACCTCTACAAATGTAAATCAGTAGTCCTCTAGCAATAGTATATAATATTGAAATACCTTTTAATATAAGTTATTAAAAAAGCTTAGTAGCTTGTATTCTTTTATGTGAATACTTTAAAACTGAATACTTTAAAATCTCATTCATGACAATTTACAAATTTGCTTGCATGACTATAAATTATTAATTTTATTGTAAGTTTTTAATAATAAGACTAAAATCACAATGTTCTTCAAATTCATTTTGCATTTTAATTCTTTTTCTAGATGGGAGACATACCCAATATTCTAAGATCTCACAAATTGTTAAAGAAACATTTGATCAGCTAATTTCTAGTCACTCACAATATCTGAAATGTAGCAATTCATTGGCTGCTTTTATTGTTGAAAGAGGTAAGTTCAAATATTTGGGATGTGTTTATACAAAAACTAGTATCTTGATCTGAACTATAGTATAGTAATATTTTTGTTAACTGTCTTTGCTTCTGTTGACGATGTACTGATTTGAAGTGATATTTTTCTAGCAGATGATGAAAACAAACTTTTACTTAATGCAAAAATGCATGAAAATTCAGATAGCAGAAAAATAATAGGGTTTAAATCTTCTGAAACAAATGAGAATTAAACTGAAATTTTAGTGTTGATAAAGGTTTGATGCATAGAGAAAAGGAAAACAGTTTTGGAGAGAGGAAGGCATAAGAGAAAAGAGTAGTGGAAAACTAATTTTGGGATAATGAGGAGATGAATTGATTACACAGTAGTATATTTGCAGACGCAATAAAAATAGAGTTAGATTGATGAGATGGTAGCAGAATTATTAAGTGCCTCATCAGCTAGTCAAAAGTTAGATTTAATAAGATTGATAATAATCTATGAAAGGTTTCATATGGAGAAGGCAATGCGCTGTAATTGTTGGAATGTGAGAATCAGACAGCTCTGTAGCTTAAATTACTTTGGTCTGTGTATAAACTCAAATGTGCTTCAATTTTCTCCTCCATTTTTAAAACTGCAGATAATACAATAACCCCCTGGGAAATGGGATTTATAGAATTAAATGTAATAAAGTAATTAGCACAGTACTTGGATTTTTGTAAAAGTTTAATAAATTATTGCAGTGATTAAGGTAAGTTAATTTTAAGTAAAAATTGATAGCAAATATTTTTTAAAAGATTATAGGAGTTGAAACCAAATTAGAAAATCACCATTTAGGTGGTTTTGAGGTACTGCCTATAGACTTTAGATGGACATGAGCAAAAAGAAACTAAATTACATTTTTTAAAGAATTGATGTGATAAAATGAAGATAAAATGAGTGATAGATAATAAGAGATGAGTAAAGTAATAACATCATTTAAAGTTTGTATTGAGTAGCATTTATATACATATAGGGATTCTGGAAGTAGATTTGAAGTTAGGTGGAAAAGAACATGACTAATAATGATACATGTGCTTTTAGAAATCATGAGCAGGAATGTGGGATGGTAACTCCTGAATGAAATCACAAGAATATTCCTGGAATAACACACAATCAACACATAAAGTATATGTATATTATGCTTTATGTATATGTATATTATAAAGTACATTATTAGCTTTTATTACCTTGCCTCATCATTTTTAATTGGGTCTGTAAGAAGCTGTCAAATCTAAATGCCTTTCTCTCCTTCACCAGCAAATTTATATATTTTCCTGCATTTGTATCCTTCTGTACTGTAACAGTAGAGGAAGGATGTCCCTTCTTTAATTCCTTAATTCTTTCACTTAAGTTCAAATTCAGTTCCCTCTCACATCCAATGAATTTCTTTTTTTGATTATCTTCTCTTTTCCCTGTACCCTTAAATTTAACTATCCCACTGAAGCATTGCAGATAAGAAGTCATGGTTGAGAAAGGTGCATTCTTTTTATAATACTTCCCCTTAAAATCAGAGGTTACATCACTATTTCATTCCAGATCTTACAGTGACACTGTATCATTCCACTTAAGTTTAGAAACCTGGTTATTGAGTTAGATTCAGCATTCTTAGGACCACATCCCTATCATAGGGATGAAAGCAGAATCTGTGCTCAGGTATCCTTGAATAATACATATTTGCTGTCAGTCTTTCCAGTAGCCCATAAAGCCTGGCTTCCTAAATTTCTATCTTACAAATAAAAGCAAACTTACTTTAAACTTTTGGCACCCGCAAGCATAAATCCATAGTTGTTGTGTAATTCATTTAGTGATCAGACTTCATCAAGAAATTGTTTATAGCAACTGCATCTACTCTTTACTCCAATTTAATTGTTTTTCTCTTCTGCTTCTTGAAAATTGCTCTTCTCAATGCTACCCACTGTCTGAGGGGATTTTGTTCTCTATGTACTCAATTTTCCAGAAAAATAAATTTTACTACACCTTTTTATATCACACCAATACTCTCCTACTTTACTTGCCCTTCACCCTACCTGCTCCACAATATTGGCCATGAGTTTTATGAATACAGTATATTATTATTATTATTAACTGTAGTCACCATCCTATACAGAACTTACTCATATAACATATGTTTATCCATGTTGTTACAAATGGCAAGATTTCCTTCTTAAAGTCTGAGGTATATACTATTGTGGAGTATATTTAATGTGAGATATTTATGAATATATATGTGGGAGTGTATATATAAATGGATGTATATGTATATACTGATATACATCAGTATATATGAGTATCAGGGTATATGATACATATAAATACATATTATATATAATACATATATAATATATATATTCAAAATACATATGTATACACATATATATATATTCATAATACATATGTATATAAATAATATGTATTTATATATATTATATACATATATATCAATGTCAGTGTTTTGGGGGGGTGAGGGCACTGGGGATTAAACCCAGGGAAATACATATGTATAAATAATATGTATTTATATATATTATATACATATATATCAATGTCAGTGTTTTGGGGGGGTGAGGGCACTGGGGATTAAACCCAGGGACTTCATACTGAGCTACATCCTCAGGCCTTACTTTATTTTTTATTTTAAGATAGAGTCTCACTGCATCACTAATTTTCACAGGCTAGGCTCAAACTTGTGATCCTCCTCCCTCCACCTCTTGAGTAGCTGGGATTATAGATATGGGCCACCACTTTTGGCTATATCACAGTTTCTTATCCTATCCATTCATCTGTAGTTTGGTTTATTTGAATAATGCAGCAGTGATTTCTCTGTTTGCTCTGCTTATGCTGTTTCTTTTTACTTAGAAAACACTTTCCCTTTTCATGCTGCTTACTCTTCACACTGAGGCTTAAATTCTTCATGCTACTTATTCTTCACACTGCAACTTTCAGCTTATTCAGAAAAAAATCTGAAACTAATGTGCATGAAGTAACCTGTTTTCATTCTTCACATCAGCTTCATAATTGTTTTTTTCAAAGCACTTATCAGAGTATAGGGTTTGTTTAGTCTTTTTTCTTTGTTTTTAGTTTGTTTGTTTGTTTTTGCTTTTTGAAACAGGGTCTCCCTATGTAGTTCAGGGTTCTCTTGAACTCACTATGTGTCCCCATCTGGCCTTAAACTCATAGCAATCCTCCTGCCTCAGCCTCCTGAGTATTGGGATTATAGGTGTACAGTACCATACCCAGCTGTTTAGTTTTTTTTTCTGTCTCTGCTGAAGAAGCTTCATGAGGGCATGACTTAATGAAATCTCTTAGAAGGTCAGATAAATCTAGATGTGTAAGAAATATGTGTATATTTAAAAGCCAAGTATATATGTTGATTCTGGTGATTGTGCTAAAAATTTAGATTAAGCACCAGGGTATAATTTAGATACACACCAGCTTGCCTTTCTAATTGAGAAAACAACTTTTAAAATTTGGTTCTTAAAATAATCTTATTTGAAATTGTGGAATTATTTTTCCATCTCTTTGGGCAATACATGTTACACAATTAAAAATGATGGGATAATAGGATTAGAACATAAGAAATAGGGTTAGAACAGGTTGCTACTGCTTACCTCTCTCTCTCTCTTTCTCCCTCTTTTTTTTTTCTAGCTGGATATCATGAAGTTGTAGCTGTAGGCACAGGTGAATACAATTTCAGCCACTGCATCAAGACAAATGGAAGAGTGTTACATGATACTCATGGTGTTGTTACAGCAAGAAGGTCTCTCCTTAGGTAGGTAGGGTCCACATATAAATGATTTGATTTATAAATGGAATTTTACTGTCCTTGAATCAAGGTTATGACAGTCTCTTATTTATCCAGCTCATCTAATTATTTTCATATTATCTTTGGAAACATTTAGTAACTTCAGTGTCTAGTGTATGAATATTAAGGTCTTGCATTATTAAGTGCTTGTAAACTAAGTTCTAAGAGTCTTACAATTTTTTTTTTTTTTTTTTTTTTTTTTTTTTTTT